ACTGATCTGTAAAGTGGGGTAATAGTTATCTTAAAATGTTGTGAAGATTGAAATAAGATACAAAATTTCAGTTGCAAACTCTCATAGATGCTCAATAAATATGAAGTGAATGTTCCCTTCTGATAGCCAGGAGTATATGAATTTGAAAAAAATTTTTTAAATTACCTAAACTGTAAAAAGATTGGATGTTAATACTTGAAAGGGGCGCCTGGGTGGCTCAGTGGTTGAGCATTGTACTCTTAATTTGGGCTGAGGTCACTGTCCCAGGGTCATGGGATCAAACCTTGCATTGGGCTCCTGCTCATGCTGTCTCTCTCAATTCTCTCTCTTTAAAAGAAAAAAAAAAAGTTGTTAGTACTTGAAGATTTTTTAAGTGACTGTTAGTGTCTTCTTGGCTCTATGATCACATCACATTCTAAGTATAGAACTTTTTTTGTCTTGGCCTATTTTTGTTTATAACAGCTGAATTGAGATATAATTTATTGCTATAAAAGTCACCCTTGAGAATATACCATTCAGTGGTTTTAGTATATTCACAGAGTTCTGCAATATCACCACTATCTCATTTTAGAAAATTTTTATTACTCCAAAAAGAAATCCCATACCTGTTAGCAGTCATCCCCCATTTCTTCCTCACCATAACTCCTCTGTCAACCACCTATTTTCTGTCTGTGTGGTTAGTCAGTCCTGGCTGTTTTATACAAATGGAATCAGACAATATATGATCTTTTGTGTCTGATTTCTTTCACTTAGCATAATTCTTTCAAAGTTCACCTATGCTGTAGCATGTATTAGAATTTCATTTCTTTTTATTTTTTTATTGTTATTTTTTTAACGTTTATTTATTTTTGAGACAGAGAGAGACAGAGCATGAACGGGGGAGGGGCAGAGAGAGAGGGAGACACAGAATCGGAAGCAGGCTCCAGACTCTGAGCCATCAGCCCAGAGCCCGATGCGGGGCTCGAACTCACAGACCATGAGATCGTGACCTGAGCTGAAGTTGGATACCCAACCGACTGAGCCACCCAGGCACCCCTTCATTTCTTTTTAAAGCTGAATAGTATTTCCCTCTATGGATAGCCCATAATTTGCTTATCCATTCATCACCTGGTAGGTATTTGGGTTGTTTCTACTTCAGGGCTATTATGAAAATGCTGCTATGAATTTGTATTCAGGTACAAAGTTTTTTTGTTTTTTTGTTTTTAATGTGTATCTTGAGAGAGTGTGCAGGCATACAAGTGAGGGAGAGGGGGAGGGAAAGTGAGAATCCCAAGCAGGCTCCACACTCAGCTCAGTGTGGAGCCTGATGTGGGGCTCAATCCCACAACTATGAGATGATAACCTGAGCTGAAATCAAGAGTCAGATGCTCAACCAGCTGAATCACTCAGGCGTAAGTTTTTATGTGGACGTATGTTTTCAGTTCTTTTGAATATAGGCTTAGGAGTATAATCTTCAGTTGACAAAGCAAAGAATTTTCATTTCAAAGCAAAGAATTCTCATGATGAGAGAACTGAAGGTTCTTACTGAGGGGGACTTTGGGGTTTTCTTTCCATACTCGTTTCTTAAGATTGGAGTTTTTTGTATTAGACCTCACAGAGCACTATGCTTCTAGGAATGCTTGGCTTGTCACAGAAACCAACAAAAAGCAAGGTGCTCGCTTCAGCAGTGCATATACCGAAATTGGAACGATATGGAGAAGATTAGCATGGCCCCTGCGCAAGGATGACATGCAAATTCACAAAGTGGTCCATGTTAAAAAAAAGAAAAAGCAAGGTCTTTTCTGAAAGGATGAGAAACAATAAAAAAGGCCCATATAGTAAAGAATGGTTTATTAGCATAACAAAATAACTCCCAAATCTCTTATTCTCACCAAAGTATTTATTTTCATTCACTTTTCATACAGGGTACACTGCAGGAATCAGAAAGGGAAAACCCTCCTGTAGAGATGTAAATTAAGGAAAAGTTAGGTGAATGTTAACACATTTCAGATATATCCTATCCTTTGCTCTAGAGCATAAGCTTTTAGAGGGAGGGTAAAAATGTTTCCTATTCTCTGAGCCATCTCCCTTCCCAACCCAAACTGAACTGAAAGGGAAAGAGGTGTCTGGAACAGCTTCTGGAAGGAGGTCTTCATTCCATCCAGGAGCAGGCTTTAAAGCACTGCATTTACCTTTATAGAAAACCATGGAGAGGGAAAAAATGTCTTTGAAGTGGAACTCGCCATTAAGCGTCATATGGTCAGTCACACAGAGGTCACTAATCACTCTCCCTTTTCTTGTTTTTCAGTGAACGAGATAATTGGGAGAGACATGTCCCAGATTTCTGTTTCCCAAGGAACAGGGGCGAGCAGGCAGGCTCCCCTCCCTGGTCCCGATTCCCTGGATTTGGGAAGATCCGATGGGCTCTGACAGTGCTCCCTGCAGCCATGTGTCTACCACCATGTACTTCTCAGCATGTTTCTCTCCTTGGACCTTGGGTTTCCAACTCTGTGGCCTTCAGGACTGGCGCCAGGAGTTGGGATCACTATATGTGGGGAAATCAGCATTCCTCCACCTCAGGCCTTGGGTAGATTGTGAAAGAACAAGAGCAGCATAGACTGAGCTTTGGGGAAATGAGCTTTGCTTTTTATATTTAAATAGGATACTTTTATATGATGGGTGCTTTTGAGTGTGGATGCAGCAGGCTCTCGCATTTCAGAGGTGCTGCTTTTGCAAGTGACCTGGTTGCTTAGCTATGATTGGTGATTTGTACTCCTTTATGGTCATTTGAAGGACTCTTTAGCTTTGATGATTATTTTTAAAGTAGGAACTTTTGATAAAACCTTCCAGAGGCAAACATAATAGAAAAAAAAAAAAAATTCTCCCAAGCCCACACCTATGCCTCAGAAACAGCATGTCCTAAAGCCTTTCATAGATTTATAGGAAATAAAGCCAAATGTAGTTCATACCTCTTTATAAAAGTAAACTGTTAAAGTAAGAGGAGACCATTCCAATCATTGAAGTGTTGGAATATTAAATGACATTCCAGAGCATAGCCTTTTGTAGCTTTCTAGGTGATCTTTCTGCAATCTCTCCATACTGACTCCATGTTGAAATTGCTTTTTTGCCTCAGGGCCTTGGGTAAGATAGCTACGCATAAGGTGACTTTGAAAGGTGGGTTGTTTGAGCTTCGTAGCTTTAATATCTTGCCATCCTGCAAACAAGTAGGCTGTGGACTGCTTTTCCCTTTTGTGCCCTCTGGTCCCAGACCTTTTCCACATGGGAGTATCCTCATTTGGCTGCTCTGTAACCTTTGAAGCCACAGTCTCATGATGGTTTAGGCAAATTTGCTGGTTCTAACTAATTTCTAGAGGCCATGCTGTGTCAGAAGCTAAGCACAAATGAGCTATGCTTTAGAACAGTAGAGAAAATGCAGGACTCCAGATCGGAAGCTTTTAAGATTCACAGTGGCATGGAAAGCTTATCCCTCATTCTGTTTACAGTCTAAAATGATTCTGGCCTACCGTGTCCCGTCTACGTGGCCTAAAACCAGCCTTTTCCCCCAAAGGCTTTGGGGCAAACCCAAACATGCAGTAGCATCACAGACCTGACCCTCCACACCAAAGATACCCTGGTGCTGCTGCTGGTGAGGCTGGTGCCCAAGGCCGGGGCCAGCAAGAAACTCCAGCCTGCTGTCTACCAAAGGAGGTGCCCGAGTTGGGTGCTTTTTCCAAACCCCCCTTTATCCCTCCCTTTAATGGGATTAGGTACCTGTTCTAAGGCCGGGCCCATTTCAAAGCCCCTGAAGCTTGCAGTATGTTTTCAAACGAAATCATGTAATTTCATTTATTCAGGAAGCAAATTTTTTGAGTGCCTATTATGTGTGACAGTGTGCTGAGCTGGTCAGAGGGCTTGATGTTGTTACTCCTGGGGATTAGGAGTTCTGGATGCCAGGACTCTCTATTGAAGCCAAGTGGGGCCTAGGCAGCGGGAGCCAGTTCGTTGCCCACCACCTCTAGTCAGCCGGGTAGGAGCTGTTGACCTCCTACAGGATGAAGTATGGGTTGTTTTTATTTTATTTTTTTTCTTTTTCTTTAAACCATGATGATTTATATTTTTTCCTTAAAACTAGTTAGAGAAAAATGTCTGTCCTTCAGCAAATCACTCTGGTCCCTCCTGGAGCTGGGTGTTTTTAGATTTTCTTTTTAAAGTAAGTTTTATATCAGAGTGTGGATAGTGAGATTTGCTTCAGGGCCTGAAGTTGGAAGCCCACAGCTTCCTTTGGTTTGGAGGGGTTGTGGGAGGCGGCCCCTGACTGGAAGTTTCAGACAGCTGGTCAGACTTGCCTCCGCCCTCTTGCCCCTGGGGTAGCTGCCTCACAGGAGGTTCTTGTAAGAGTTCCCCTTACAAGACCCTTTGGGGGTTGCTCTGCTGCCCTCAAGAATAAAAGCCTCTATGATCCAGAGTTGCTATGCACCAAATTTTGATGCCTTTTAAATACCTTGATGCCTGTAGCACTAGAAATGCTTTCCTATTTAAAATAAAAGTTAAATTTTAAAATAGAGCTTTATATACTATATGAGCAGTCTTGTATCATTTTGTAAAATCTTTGGCTTACGAGTCAATATTTTTTGGCTTTGGAGGTAAAGACTTTAATCCTTTGTGCAACATAAGTGGTGTTAAAGCACACATCCACTGAACTATGCAAGTTGACTTCAGTAGCAACGTTTAGCAACTGGGCATGTTCTAGCACCCACTCCTACCCCTTCCAGCCTGTGCTAGATCTTGAATTGAGGCATGGGTTAAGCAGTCTTCTGCTTACTAGAGATACACACAGAAACATGGCTGAAAACAGCTTGAAAGGGAACAGAGGTCTTGTCTTCAGGTGCACATGTGGTGTTACTATCTGAAGGGCAACCTACCCTGCCCAGGGCTAACCACGATCACTAGAGCTCTGCTGGGTCTGCCTATGAAGCCCTGTTTTTAATACTCCGAACAGATGGTCATCTTTAAGGCTCAGGTGAGCTAAAGTTTGAAACCTTATATTTTATAAAATGGGCAATGTTCAGTTAAGGAACTGGATCTCAGTTGTGTTTACAGCACTTGGGATTGTTTTCTTACATATTTTGTATTTTAAAACCTTTTGTAGGAGTATAGTGCTCCTTACACAAATAACAGAGAAGAGCCAGCAATTCAGGTTCCTCAGTTACAGTGCTGAAATAATAAATGGTGATCGGTCAACGGTGTCCTTGAAATCTGCCTGAGTTTTCCTCTGCCTGGGGCAGGTGTGGAGCCCCTCACTCTGGGGTCCAAAGCTAAGGAGACTTTGGCTTTTAAAAAGTCCACTTGGTTAGAACCTTTGTTTATTTTACGGAGGAGTGAGTAGAGTTCCAAATTCCTTCCGAAGCTTCAGTTCTGTACCCTCTAATGGGTGCAAAGGACATTCCACGGTGTCTGCTGAGTTCAGGACAACTGGCCTGCCCAAGGTGTGCATGAAAAGTAGGCAGAAAGTCCCCTTTAAAATTTGAGCCTGAGTTTTTGTGAGGGCCTCCTGCCCCCTAGTGTCCTCTGGGGATATTGCAGTATAGTCCATCAAAACAGCTTGTGATTTTGCCACAAAGCTTGTGCCAAGCTGGAGGTCCCTTAGATGGGACCACCTGGCACAACGTGGCCATTGAGGTCCAAGTATCGTGGGAGCTGAGGCCAGCACTCTCTGCCTCCCTGCCCCCTACTAGGAGGGATAGGGGAAGGTAGAACATTGGGATCTTTACTCAGAAGTTCCCAGGAGTCATACGTTGAAGGCACCAGGGCTTACATTTTTAAAAAGAAAACAAGCCTGCTGTGGACACCAGCCCCACAGAATCTGAGGGTATGGGCCATGGCCAAAGCTGACCAAAGGCTCTCGGTGCTACTCAGGAGGCCCAGATCAGGCCGTTGCGAGCAGGGTAACACAATTCCACCCCCAGTCCTGCATGCAGGGTCCAGCCATCATCTTTGGGGTGAACAGGCAGGGCAATAAGTGGGAGGTGGAGTTAGGGCTTGAGCTCCTCTAGGTGCTTTCTGAGAGCTTGGACAAGCCAGAAAGAAGCCACCTGTTTGAGAGTGCTGGTTTTCTGGATGCAAGAGAGTCATGTTAGACATCAGCCAGCTCTTACCTCCTGGCTCCCTCACCTACAAACACACCCACTCTTTGGGGGCCTGTAGCACAGTGCGAGGCGGGTCACCAACAGGTATCAAACTGGTGTAGTCATCAGGGGCTAACTGCAGAAGGGAAAGAGATTTAGGGGAGGAAGCTCCAGCCTCAATCAGGTTCCCAAGCCCTCCAGCCACACCTCACCTGATAGGCCTGGAAGATGCTGAGCAGATCCTTCATACCAGTGGTATATGGGACACCCTGCATACGGACCAGGGCTCCTGGCTGGGACAACACTGAGGTGGAAGCAGAGGCCAGGGCAGCAGGGGGCGTGGTGAGGTAGCCCACAGTGGTGGGGGAAACGGGGGGGCTAGGATGGGAGAGGCAGGAATTTAGGAAAGCAGTCCCATTTATGGCCTAGACCAAGACCTGCCTCCCTCTTCCTTTGCCTGTGCCTTGTTTAGTTCAGGTCTTCCTGCCTAAAACCTCTGCCTCTACAGAGTCATCTCCATTCTGATTTGTAGATGGCATCAGCCAGGCCACATCTGTCACTCCCGTGTCCATCTTAGTATAAGTCTGAGCTCTAACAGACCTTGGATTATCTGGTGCAGGAAGGGGATCATGACCCTCCCCCAAACCAGGATGGGGACAAGACTGGAGTTTTCTTAGCAGCAGATACCTGGGGTAGTAAGCTGTGTAGTTCATGTAGAGTTGAGTGGCTGGCCCTGGGTAGTAGGCAACAGGGGTGGGGGCAGCAGGCACCCTAGCAGCCGGGAGCAGTGCTGAAGAGGGATATAGAGCTGCCGTCTCAGTGGGAATGAGTGTTGGGGTGGCCTGGAAGGTGGCGTAGGTGGGTGGTGAGAGGCCTGGAGGCAGAAGTAGAGAGTGCATCTGCAGGGAGCCCAGCACTGCCCTGGATGAGGCAGTCAGAAAGGAGTCCCCACTGGAGAAAGTGAGAGTTATAACAGCTTGGCCCCCACATGCCTCCTTTCCCCAGCCCCTGAGACACTCACAGGGCAGCTTGCAGGGTGGAGGGGACAAGCCACTACGGCCCAAGGTGCCTCCCATCAGCACACGGCTCATCTCCTCTGTGGAGCAGGGGACCACTTCCACGTAGCGTTCCTTCATCACTTTCTTATGGCAACGCTGAGCAGCAGCTAAAGCCCGCTCTGCTGATGTCATCTGGATGAAAGCATCACCTGACGGCCGGCCCTGTACACATGGTGGTCTTGTAAGCAATCTGTCGTATGCAAGAATGCCTTACTCCCAACCACACCCCCCTTCGTAGTTACGTGTGTCTCCCCACTGGCAGCAGCCTCACCTGCTGATTGAGCACCATGTGCACACCGTGGGGCCGGATGTCAGCAGCTGCATCCCCCAGAAAGCTAAGGATGTCTTCAATGGTGGCTGTGTAGGGCAGGCCTCGAAGGCGTACACAATCTCTCCCAGTCCCAGCTGCCAGTGGAAAGGGGATGGGCAGCAGTGGAGCAGTGAGTGTAGGAAGGAGTGGGCTGGATGCATAGCGGTTGAGGACCTGGTAAGGAAGGCAGCAACAGGCTGGTCACGCCGAGTAGGGCCGGTGCACAGGGGATGGAAGGGGCACCCTGGAGAATCACACAGAGGGTAGGGAAAGCCCTGGGTGCTCACCTGCTGCACCTCGGCCGCAGTGCTCCGGAAGAGTTCAATGTATCGCTTACCCAGTATGCCCTTGTGCCTGCGCAGCGCAGCCTGTGCCAGCTCCTCACAGGCAAAGAGGGCAAAGGCATCACCAGTGGGCCGGCCGTCAGGGTGGCGCACAAAGAGCAGCCCATCAGCACCCCCAGTCACCGGGCACTCTGGCCCCAGAAAGCCTAGCACATCTGCCGGCCCAGCTGAGAAGGGCAGTCCCCGTAGCCGCAGAATCACTTGGTCTTCCCGTGACAGGAAACGAGCCACCTCTAGTGATGTGCCTTGGTGGGAGGCATGGGAGTCACCTACTGACTCCATTTGTGCCCTTCCAAATACCCACCTACACCTGGCACAGGGGAGCAGAAAGGCAGGGGGTGGTGGGCAAGTGGGACATGGATCAAGAACCAAGGGAACTAGGTGCTGTTGGGAGCACACTCACCCCCTGCAATCTTGACAAACTCTTCTCCTGTTGCTTTATATACCTGTGGGTACAGTGGGGGCAGCCCATGGGTCTCCAGCCTGGCTGGCCTCAGCTCTGTCTTTCTTCACTCCCAGCCCAAAGCCCCACCTCAATATAGCGGACACCCATGTGGTGCTTGTGTCTCTGCAGCGCTAGGTCCCGCTGCTCGCTGTCCACAAACCGGATGAGAGCCTCGCCATTTCTGCGGCCCTGGGCGTTGAGGCAGAGTGCTACACCACCCCTGCGGAGCCAGTGCTGGGTTAGTGCTTCCTGGGCGGGCCTGCCCTCCTGAGCCACCCATCCTGCCTGCTGTACCCACCTGGCAATGTTGAGTCCTTTGAAGAATCGAGCCACGTCCTGGTCTGATGACTGCCAGGGCAGCCCACGGGCCCGAACTACAGTCTCACTGTCCACCACATCGGCCTTGCTGCTGTGGGGGCAGGGCACAGAATCAGAGCTGTCCAGCTATTGTCACCCCCACCCCTGCCCCCACACTCACCAAGGACCTGTCTCATATTTCTGCTTTACCACCTCTGCCTTCGAAAACAATTGACCTGAGAGGAGATGGCATGGGGGTCAGCAGGGTCTGGTGGAGGGGGTCTCCCCACCAAGCTCTGCAAAAAGAGGACAGTTGAGGGGGATGAGGTGACAAAGGAGCATCTACCTGTGGTCTCAAAGAAAGTAACAAGTGGGGAGGGGGACTTTGAGAAAGTTAAGAGGTAGACATTCACCCAGTCCTGAGAGCAGGTGACAGGTGGCGAGGGGAATCTTACCACTGGGCCCTTCGAGCAGGTGGAGGATGACAGCTACCATTGTCTTCACTTCCCAGACCCCAAAGTCATCCTCTGTGGCATCTGTCTCCAGCCCCAGGTCTATGAACAGGGAGGTAACAGTGAGGAAATCCCAGCATGAGCACCAATCTTGGTCCCACCTAGGTCCAAGTCCCCTACATGGACAAATGCAGAGTCCCGGCAAACATTTGTTTGGATCCAGGTAATATATGCCCTTACAAGTCCCCATCCCAGACATATGCAAACATATGTCCATATTTCAAGTGCACCCCAGCACAGACACAGAGGCATGTGCCCTCAAGGACTCAGCAGATAATGTAAACTTGCATGTGTTCACATAACCCTCTAGGATGCACATACTCAAAAACTGCCTGCGGCTTCCCCTCCACCCTAACCCTGCTGGGGTCACAGATACCCTGTGCCATGGTGGCCACGGTGAGCTCCCTGGCAGGGCAGGCACTTGGGTGCTGCACATGGAATTCTCTGCGGAGGTCGTAGAAGGAGAAGAAGGTGTCGGGGAGCACCAGGTTCTAGGGGCACATGGGAGTGGGCATGAATGGAGGGAACTGAGCTGCCCTGCCCACCCCCACGATGGGGGTCCTGGGAACCCTACCCCCTGTTGTGCCCTCAGTGGCATACCTTCCTGGAGGCCTCAGGGTGCAGGACCTGTCGCAGCAGCTGCTGCCCATCAGTGCATAGCATGTAGGGGCCCCCGCCCAGCAGAGCCACATCCCCGCTCACCAGCTGTGAGAACTGGGGATAGGGAGTGGGGAGAGAGACAGACAGACTCACAGCTGGGTGGGCAGGAGGAGGGAGGGCACAGGCTGCAAAGCTGGTTCAGCTAGATGTTCAGCCCTACCCTGCCTGGGGAGGAGTTGGCCACACCTGTTGGGTCTGGCTCTGTGTCCCTTTTCTCCCCCAGTCCACGGTCACTTCTTCCAGGCCAAATGGGGGTACTCACATATCACCCAAGCCCCCATCACACACACTCCAAGAGTATGGAGTGGTGCCAGAGCAAACACCTGGTGGAGTGGGATAAGCAGGTGGGAATGGGCGGGGCAAAGCAGGTTAAACCTGTCCCTGACCAGGCACCACCCTCAGACAGGTGGGGGAGGCCCAATCCTGCCTGAGGCCCAGCTGGCTCACGGTCAATGGCAGCCCCGCCTCTTAAGTCTGACCAACCAAGAAGCAGAGAAAATCCAAGGACAGAGCCCCATACCTGGACGCCAGGGGCAGCATGAGCTTTGACCCACACCCTATCGACCGGCTGGCACGGGCTTGTTTACTCATGGGGGGGGGGGGGACTCCTCGCCCAGTCTCCAGCAGCCTTACTACCTCTGGAGAACAGGTATAAGCACTAAGCGGGGGCCCAGAGCAAACCAACCCAGTTCTCCTTCAGCACACTCCCCAAGTAGGGGCTAGCCTGGGAGCCCTTCAGGAGCAGGCTCAGGTTCAACATCTTTGTACCTAAATCAAGAACCACCGGAGGAGTTGTTGAGAAATGAAAGTATTTGTGTGTGTAAAGCACTTAAACTCATTACACTTAAGAGTCAGGCACAGGGTAAGTACAGTAGTGAAAAAACAGCAATGGGAACCGCCTCCCACTCCAGCCAGGGCTGGGAGGCACCCCGGGCCTTTGCACTCAGGAGTCAGGTAGCCTCCAGGCGGAGTCCGGACAGCGCCCACGCCTGGCCAGCCGGCCGGGACAGGCCTAGACGAGCAGCTTACACCTGGCGGCGTCTGCCTCTGAGGCAGACCCCGCCCTACGCCCCCGCTCCTGCGTCTCCTAGGAGGGTGGGTGGGCCGAGGACGCAGGCTGCAGGGACCGTGACCTATGGCCAAGACCAGGTCCCTCGGCCCTTTTGGCTTCCGACTGCTTTTCTGGGAGACCTGGCCAGGCAGGTCCCTAGAGGCGTCTCAGCCTCACAGCCACGCCGGCAGGGACCCTAGCAGGGGTCTCGTAGCCTCCATCCCGCGGCTCAGTAGAAGTGGATCCCTGGAAAGGCTGAAAAGTAAGGTGCCCCCAGGAATGACCGGCACACGCGGGAATCTCTGAAATTTTTAAACAACAGGAACTCGTCCTACCGCCCAGGCCAGTTGGTCGCAGCATGCCAGGCCCTGCCGCCTGCCTCCTCTCCCGCCAAGAAATGTCCCGCGGCCTGGCCATGTCTCCACTCACCCGGGCCCCAGCACTCACCTGCTGCAGCACCTTGTCCAGCGGTTCGGCCCGCGCCAAGCTGTCGGCGCTCAGGCCGCTCGCCTCGCGGCACTGCGGACTCAGTGCGGCCGCCTCAGCGCGAACCAATGACTTGTGCAACGTCCCCACCTACGAGCGGCGGGGATAACCGATCATCCACTGTTCGCCTCAGATCCTGAAACAACCTGGACACCCTGCTGCCCCCTTTTCATCGTACCTGACGGCTCCTCGGCTCCACCACTTGCCAGACTAGGAGGATTAAGTCGGTCTCGTCGGAGCCCAGGTCCGGCCCCATCGCACCGGCCGTGGCTCCGAACAGTACGACTAGGGGTCCAGGTCCTGGGCGGGGGTCGGTGGCGGAGTCTGAGGCGGGGTTCGAGCCCGGGGGCGGTGGCTGGGGAGGCGGCGGAGTCATGGCCGCAGAGGAAAGGGGAGCTCGGCCAAACACACGCGGACCGACGAGGTGCACGCACGCACCGGCCGACGGCAGACACGAATCAGTTTGGGCGGGACACCGTGTGTCGGGGGCGGCACCTGCAGCCCGGCTGGCGCAGTGGGCGCTGCTGAGACCCGCCCGCGGCGCCCCGAGGGGCGGGGCGGCTACTGGCCCCCGCCCTCTCTGGGCGAGTTACCTGTCCTCCCCGCCGGCCACGTGACCGAGGGCGTCTTGCAGATCCTCAGTCTCTTCTCCGTCCGAGACAAGCAAACCAATAAGGACCGTCGCGCGTGGAGGGCTCCCAACACCTTTTCGCCCGATTGTGCTTAGTGAGGCTCCTTTACGGCGCGTTTCCAGACCGCTCCGGACTACCCTAAGTTCTCCCATTTATATGACTGAGAAACTGAAGAGTCCGGCGGGAAGAAGGGACGTGGGATTGTCAAGCCCGCGCCAAAACTGAGGCGAGAGCCGCGCCTCGCGCTTTCGTAAGGGCTGGGCTCTGCGTGGACCTTCGGACGACGGAGAAAGAGCCCAGGGTGGAGGGGGCGCTTCCGAGACCTTGACCACTGAACCCACACTTCAACGCGTCCCTACTTAACAGATAAAGAGACTGAGGTGTCCAGTACGGAAGTGACTCGCGCCGGGACTCGGCGGTATGGAGGGAGTGGGAAGGAGACAGGTATTCCAGCCTCTAGGGGCTACGGGCGATTAGTGCTTCCCCCTGGTTTGGGCAGGTATCCGCCCCTTTGGGGACCGCCCACTCGGGCGCCTGCCCGCTGGTCCCCACTGGCGGAAACGCTAGGCCAATCAGGCCCTGGGGGAGGGGGAAACGTCGCTCTTCGGATCCTGCACCCTTTTAGATAAGCCTGGAATGTCAAATATTTGCTCTCCGGGCAGGGCCCAACAACGAAGTAAGGCTCCTCCCGTACCCTTCCTGGAGCGCGCCTGCGCCAGGCGGAGTTGGGGCTTCCTCTATCCAAGCCTTTGCAGTAAACTCTTCACCCCAGCGGCACTCCTAAACTCCCTTGAGGTACATTGTTCCTTGTCGGGCTCCTGTCTCCCGGAGTCACCACCCTGCCATCTGGGTGCTTACTTGATCTCGGTCTGACCCTTCCTGGCGCCCCCATCCGTTCAACCTTCGCGCTAGGCCTTTCCGTATTTTTCCTTCTGCGTGGGTCTCGAGGTCGCCAGCTCCTCAGAGAAGCCACCCTCTTGAAATAACTTGTCCTTGGGGCACCTGGGTGGCTTAGTCGGCTAAGCTTCCGACTTCGGCTCAGGTCATGATCTCACGGTTCGTGGGTTCGAGCCCCATGTTGAGTTCTGTGCTGACAGCTCAGAGCCTGGAGCCTGCTTCAGATTCTGTGTCTCCCTGTCTCTCTGCCCCTCCCCCTGCGCGCTCTCTCTCTCAAAAATAAATAAACATGAAAAAAAAAAAGAAAAAAAAAAGAAGTAACTTGTCCAGTGTGGCAGCTCTATCCGTCCTGGCAGCATGGGGCGGCTCCGCTAAGCTCCTGCACGCCCTCCTGCATGACAATTTATAGTGCTTGGACTCTTCTTGAAAAACTAAATTCTTTAAAATAACGTTAGAGCCCCTGCGTTGCTGAGCTCCTTTACTTATCTTCAGATGGGTCCTCCCAGATCATACCACTAATAGTAAACAACCTTCACTCCTTTCCCCTAACACTAAAGTAACTTCTAACACAATAGAACGTTTATTGATTGTCTCCCTACATCACCCCCACCCAAACATCAGATCCTAAAGGACAGGCTCATCCCCAGTGTCTATCAGTGCACCTGGCACATAGTACTTGCTCAAGACAATGAATGAATAAATAGTTGTCTAAGTGCTTTGCACCTTTAGCCTTTGGCTATTTCAGAACTAGTAACCTTACCTGGGGATAAGGGGTTTTTCCTCGAGAGTCTTCTCTGTGTGTGCTATTTCCTCTCCTACCAACCCAGCCCTTGCCCTAGTTAACCCCTGCTCTTCCTCCAGATTTTCTCCTCTCAAGTCCCCTCCTCTGTAGCAGGGTCCCCCACTGTAGTTTGAGATTTCTGTATTTCACTGGGAATGTCTCCCATCCCAACCCAGCTACTAGAGTTCATGAATCGTTAGTGAATGAACTGGAAATCAGGTGGGTGAAAAGGGTACGGCTCCGATGGTCTAGCCTATTGCATTTCCCAAACTGTAATCCAGGTACTTGGGGGCAAGGAACTTGGTCCTGTGAGCTAGACCACAAGCTTGTGGAATCCCATCCTTACCTTGGCTCTTTGAGGCCTGCTACAAAGGCCAGTGGCACTCCAGCCTTTGGGACGTGAAAGTTGGGACAGATACAGAGTGGAGATCCTTACATGGGACCGGGAGTGTGACCGTCCTTGTGGACCTACAGGGCATCTAGGAGTGGTGTAAAAGCACCCTCCTCTCTCTCTCTCTCTCTCTCTCTCTCCCCCAAGCCAGAAAATATCCCACTGCAGGAGACAATTCCTTTTTTTAAAGATTGTATTTTTAAGTAATCTCTACACTCAAAATGGGGCTGCAACTCACAACCTCAGATCAAGAATCACATGCTCTACTGACTGAGCCAGCCAGGCACCCCTCTAGGAAGGATTCTACACTGGGGTGCCTTGTGGTATCCACAAAGGCTATCCACACTCCCAAGCTCAGGCCCATCCCCACCCTCCGCAGCCCCTTGGCCGGCAATTGGGTCAATCGCTACTACCCTTTCTTATCTCCTGGGCCTCCAGGGTAGCCAGTGCATTGCCCCTCCATACAGGTTCCCAGCTACGCGCCTTTGCCATATAGCTGTTGAGTACCCACCAGAGGGCGCACTGACTCTGTCCCCTGAACAAGGTGTTGAGGCTGGAAGGAGGATCTTCCACTGGAGAGCTCCACCTAGGGCAATGCTCCAGGAGAGAAGTGAAAAGGGAAGACCCTTGATCCTGCCTCCCTCCAGCTTGAGCATCTTTGTGGCTCCGAGCTTCCTGGGATACACCAAGTTGTTAAGCTTGGTTTTCAGAACCCTCAACCTCTCTTCCACTCCCACCCACCACGTACCCCAGACACAGTGTGATTGTTCAGGTCTTCAGGCTGCTGCACATACTAAGCTCCCTGTCTGGACCACCCACCTACCTACTCCTATTGTTTTCCTGGCAAATTCTTACTTATCCTTCAAAACCCATCTCTAATAATTCTTCCTCCAGGCAACATTCTTTGATGCCTAAGCCAGGTTAGACACCCTGTTCTGGGCCCCTGTTCAGAACCCCCGAGTCTGGCCTCTCATGACCTCAGAGAGGCACTAGGAGCAGAAGAATAGGAGCCTCATGAGCCATGAGCTTTAAGGGAGAATCAGTTGGCCTTCAAATGGGCTCAGCTCAGAAGCCCTGGTCTTGGTTGGGTTGCCCTAAGCCCAGGCACACACCTGGTCCAGATAGGGGAGCTTGGAACTTGGGTGAGCAAGAGGGAATACAAAGGGCCCAGTAAAAGAGAAAAGGCAAAGGCTGTTGGCTGGATTCTCTCCTGAGAAAGATACCACACCTGACCTGACTCCCCAGTCTCTGGGCTTATTCCCACATCTGGCCTTTGCCCAGAGTGTTCTCCACAGGAATATTATCCTTCTTTCCCAATATTTTCCAGAATTCACATCCAGCCCTGTGGACCTCTCAGTTCCTTCTCTCCTCCAGGTCTGACTGGCACTAGGACCATATCCTGGAAGGGGGAAGGGTTAGAGAAGGCGGTGGGGGGGGGTGTGTGTGTGGGGGGGTGTATCACTCATTCATTAAATATATGTTAAGCACCTGCTGTGTGCCTGGGACTGTGCTGGTGGTAACTAGTAACCAAAGAAGGCAATAGCCCCAGTAATGGGCAGGTGAGGGGCTTGCTCTTCCGGTGATTATATTCTGATAGGAGCCAGGTAGGGCCTGCTTCAGAGTCAATCAATGGTCATGTCTGGGCTGAGACCTAAATACAGAGCTCAGTTAAGTTCCCCAAAATGAGGGCTGCAGAGTGATCCCAATGCAACAAGTGCAGAAGTCCTGAGGGAGAATGAGGTTAATTTTTTTTTCAAAACTGCATTTATTGTCATATGCATAAAAGCAAATGGCGAAGCATGCTGAAACATCTTGCATTAAGCCCCAGTCTTGACTGCCACGGGGTAAAGAACACTAGATTTTCAAAACTAAATAAGCAAGTATGTAAATATGCTTACATCTTAAAATTAATTCATGTAATGTTTCTTGCTAGCTCACCCATAAGCTGACAGTTGGAACAGTTTGCTGTATAAAACTGAAGTGTACAGCATCACACTAACATTTGTATCATTCATCTACTTTAGGAAATAGTTTCTGAATTCTTTCCCCTTTTATACTGTATCAGTAAGGCAAAAAACAAACCTTTGAAGCCATAAAAAAAAATCTTTACCCAAATAACTATTGGTAACTTGAGGGATTTTTCAGTTGTCTTATGCAAGGATGAATAGATCCAACGAGCTATTGAAGCTGGAGATGAGGGATCTGGGAGAGAGGGGAGGTGGAAGTTGGGGGAAAAGGTCAGAGTCCCCTGCAGGGTCCTCACTCATTATGACTGAGATGCATATGATGCATGCAGTAGGAGGATTATGTGTGGGGTTAGGCAGACAGTGATGGACCTGATTTAATGTTTAATGATGACAACCTGACACAGGGAGAGAAATCCATAGGAATAAGGGCATAAATTGGGATATCAGCAAGGAGGCGACTTTGGGGGTGAAAGTTTGGCATTGGGAAGGTAGAGCTGGCAAGACTTGGTGACCACCTGGTTGTGGGTCTGAGGATCAGGGAAGTATCTAAAGTCCAGGATGAACCCAGCTCTGCAGCCAGGAGGTTCATGTGGATGACAGGGTCATTGTGAGAAAGGGAGACCCTTACCTTCTGACTCCTCTCCTCTCCACAGTGCCAGCACAGATCATTGTGACTAGGCCTTAACATCCTCTCCCCGATGGCCATGGTTCCTATCATCTGCAAGGTCTGTGGGACTGGGGCGCCACGGAACTGCTCCAGAGGACAGGGCCACCCTGTGAAGGGTCCATGGTCACCTGAGGCTGCTGGGTTGACAAGACATTCAGACTATCCAAAGTCCAAAGCAACCCAGGCCATCCTGATGCCTACCCTCCCTTCACTTAACTCTTGGCCGTGGACTCTTGCCTGTCCCTAGTACTGACAAAATGATCTCTATGGTCTCCCACCGTGGGCCTGCAACAGATTGGTCCTTGGCAACCCCTCTTCTGGGTTCTAGGATGGAGGGAGGCAGAAGTTTTGGGTCCTTGCCAGGGCCTGAGGTGGGAGATAGGTGGACCTTAAAAGAGTAAGCTACTCTAGGGCCACCTGGGTGGCTTAGCTGATTGAGCATCCGCCTTCGCTTCAGGTCATGATTTCACCGTTCACCGACTTCAGCTCAGGTTATGATTTCGCAGTTTGTGAGTTCAAGCCCCACATTGGGCTCACTGCTGTCAGCGCAGAGCCTGCTGCAGATCCTCTGTTCCCCTTTTTCTCCCTCTGTCCAACTTGTGCAATCTCTCTCTCAAAAATAAATTAAAAACATTAAAAAAAAAAAGTAAGGTACTCCAACCACCAATGTTATAAGAACACAGAAGGGCAGGCCAAAATGGTGACTACTAGCAGCACTCTGAAAGGCTAGAAAGTGTTGCCATTGACCAAGAGGAAGGAAGGAAGGAAGGAATGGGTGGGCTAGAGGTCTTGAGACCAGCCAGGGGATGATCAGGGTGTTGTCTAACCCTCAGGAGGAGGTGTGTGGAGGATCAAGTCTTCCAGTTTCCAAACATGCTGGTCTCCCTATCATAGGGTGACCCATGGTGCTGGCCGTATTGCCAGCCCTCGGATCTACCCACTTTGTTCACCTCTGATTCCTCTAGCAGGGAGCCTCTGCCCTCTCTGGATCCCCAGTTTGCCTGGGATGGGAGGTGGACTCCGAAGTCCCTGCCCTGCTCTGCTGGGAAATCTGCTGATGGGCCATGGTGCAAGGTTGAGGTTCAAACCCACTTTCAACTGGGCGCGAGTACCGCTCAGTCTGATGTTGTGGCTCCATACTGCGCGCAACTAAAACAGGAGGGGAGACCTCTCACTCGGAAACGAAACACATTGACCTAGCCTCGACCTGTCCTGCCCCTATTCCTACACCCTGGACAGACATAGGGGGGTCCCTGAACCCGTTGCCTGAACCCAGGTGACATCGGAACAGGGTGTATAGAACCGGTGTAGGGTTTCCACAAAGGTCCTGGTCAGCTCCCGGTCCCCTAAGGCCCAAGAACTTTCCGAGACTCACTTCTCCCCTTCTTCTTGCTCTGACCAGGGTTTCTCAGCAGCTGCAAGCACTGGACCCTGAATCCTCCCTCGGCCCAGCCCGTTCCAGATCCCAAAGCAGGGACGCACCAGGAATCGGGCTGCGCAGCGTGGATTGTGGACACTCAAAGCTGTGCTGGGTCTCCAGCAGCGGCGAGTTGGGTGCGACCGGTCGGGGACTCAGGGCAGAGAAGCCAGGCTGAGCCCGGATCGATCGATGCGCTCGGCGCGCAGCAAGGTCCAAGGAGCTGGCAGGGGATCCGCAGGGGCGAGGCAGCGAGCTCCAAACGGGAGGGACGTGTCTGGCGGCGAGTTCCTATTGGCAGGCCGTTTGGGGAAGATGGATCCTGATTGGCCCGGCGGCTGTGGTCTACTGCGGGCGGGGGGGTTAAGCTCGTCGCCGCCGCCCCGGCCTAGGCGCCCCCCCAGGGCGCTGAATCCGCACCTTGGACTTGTACCGGCCGTGGCACGCAATGGGTCTTCGCCTCTGTCCCTACTCTGCGGCGCTGCTCCTGGGTGGCCTCCTGTTCCTCCTGCTGCTCGTAGACCCGGCGCTCCCAGTCGGACGTCCCCCTCCTGTGGTGCTGGGTGAGGCGCGCGTACAGTCGTGGGTCCGTTTGCTCGTGCATCCGGCAGGACGGGGTGCGGGCGGAGCCGTCTTCCAGATCTGCTGTGCTCTAAGCGTGGGGTGGGGGAGCATATGACTGTCTGTCTTGTCACCTGGTTCCGTCCGTCCACCTCTCGCCATGCTGGGCGCGGGTGTGGTCAACCTCTCTTCACCTTCCCCTGTAGAATATGGGGTAAATGGGAGGGCTGCTGTTCTCTTGTCTATCAGTATTGCTATCTACGTCAGTCCCAAGCTTTGCCTCGCTTTATGTCCATTTTTTAGCTGGAGAGACCGAGATCCTTTGGCCCCACTCCTGAGGGTCGGCGGGGGGATAGGGTGTTCTCGGAGTTGGTCTCCAGGGTCCTCAATTGTTGATTTGGGCATGACTAGGAGGCTGTCTCTCTCGACTCTTCCAGCCCCATGTGTTTCAGGAGGCATTATTGAAAGGAAGCTTTTGGGGGAAAGAATGACTCTCCTATCCTGCCACCAAGACACCCCCCTCCCCAACTTACCAAATGGGTGGCATTGGCCTGAGGGAGGAAGCCTAAGGGAATCTGAGGATGGCTAAAGACAGAGGTAAGGGTTGGGACAATGGCTATGAACAGATGTCAGGGAGCATCTTACCCTTTCCAGACCAATTTGGACTGGGCTATGTTGGGTCTAGATGACCTTCCTGGCCAACCCCTTGGCCCTGGCCCCTGTAATTATACAGGAACCACCGTGTTTCCTTGTGGTGGTGGGCAGAGATGAGATTTCTCTGTCTTGGGGGCCTTGGATGCCTCATTCAAGCATTGAGTTGGTGGCCAGCTAGGATTCATAAGGGCAGAGACATGCTGAGGTATATGTCACATACTGAGTGTGCTGCAGCATGACCCCCATGTTCTTTCTGATGGGGGTATTTTAATGGGGGTGATGCAGATCACAGAAGGGTAGGGTTGGCTGACAATGTGGTCCCTGGGGGTTCCCACCAGGAGTTCTAGGCCAGGAAATACTCCAGGGGGATGCTGGGTTCAGGTTCACCATGGGATTTGGGCAGACTAGGCCCTGTGTTCCCTAAGTTTACAGGGATCCCTAGAGATGAGGTCTGTATTGGGTAAGCACAAAGAGTCTACCAATGCAGTTAGGGAAGGCTGCCTGGAGAATGTGGCTATAGGTGAGGCCAGGAGAGAGTTCCAGGCAGAGGAAATTACATCTCAGAGGGAGAGAGGTAAGCAATCCAGGATGTCTGGAATGGAGTTAGGGGAGGAGTGAATTGTGCAGGGCTTGTGACTGGTTGGCTCATCTAGACTTTATCCTGTAAGCACACAAGAAGTCATGGGTAGGCCTAAGGAGTTCTGAGTATGAAGGGTGTGACATCGGGAAATGTGTGGTCCCTGATGGGGTCCCTGATGTGTGGCAGCCTTTTTGCTTGGGTTGATGCTAACTATACTCAATTCATTCAGTTCAGTTCTTGCTTATCCTAGGTCACAGCAGAGGAGCCTTACGCCACAGCCAGAGTCACAGAATCCTAATCTGCCCAGCTTCTCAGAGAGTGAAGCTGTTGGCATTAATCCTGGGAAACCCCATGGTGGGCAGTGGAGGAGCTGTTCCTGGACACACAGCAGGGACCATCAGACGATCAGCCTCCAAGGGTGACCACCTTCTATGAGTGAGACCCAAATTGGTGGTAGAGACCAAAGAAGTGATACAGAAGACTTTGGGCTGGTGGAGGACTGTAACAAGTCATATCTACCCCAACCTCAGTCTCCTCATCTGTAAAGTGAGCATAGTAAGGATGTTCTCTCCCAGCGTTATTTGAGGTGAAAGTTATATGGATGTCTTTTGTCCTAGTTTTAGGCAAAAAGGGGCTTAGGAAATGACCACTGCTATTTTTAGAGGCCACACAGCCTATCCAGGACAAAGAGCATTCAGGCACAGCAAATCTGGTGACTTCCTCCTTTAGCCATTTCCTCTTTGCTGGAGACAGTGACCAAGGTCTCTGCACTGTCATGCTGAGGACTCCCCATTTCTGCATCTGTGTTGTTAAGGGAGGTGAACGCAGGTGAACTGGAGGTTAAGGGAGGTGAACTGCATCTCATGGTTGTCCTGAGGACACTGTGAGATGATGCAAAGGGAGGGCATGCCCTGTGCAGGGCTAGGTTTGTAGAACCCAAAGAATGCCCAGGAGAGCCAAGAGCTGATGGTTCACTCAGTGATCATGGATCCTAAATGGTGATATGCTTGGAAGATGCAAGAGCATGGCATGTAGAACCAAGTGAGGCCTGAAAGGTCAATGGGAACAATATTCTGGGAAGGGCCTTGAATGTTGGGTGATGAAGCCATGGGGATGGGTTTGAGTGTCACAAGGGCCTGAGGGCTCTGTGTGTATAGACTGACTAGACTGGCTTGGGCAGAGAGAAGTTATCCTTGGGCCTTGTCACACCCTCCCCTACCTGGCTGTGGCTGGACTGTTGTGTTGTTTCAGGGTAGCCATCTCTGACACAGGGTCCAGGTGTGCTGAGAGCCTAGGGCCCTCCAGATGATCTGCCCTCTGGAAGATTACTGGGCTCTCAAGAGGTTGGCAGGTACCATTATGAACTTCTCTCAACTGTGTTTCTGTTCATTGCCACCCCCGTCCACAAGCCTGTCCTAGAGTGCCTTCTCTGGATTCAGTTTTGGTTAGTTAAGTGGCCCAGTGCTTTGTCCTGTTTGCCATTCCTTTGAATAAACAAGGGCCTACTCTGTAGCCTGGGACAGCTATAGTAGGAGGCCTTTGGGTTCAAGTCTCAAGGATCTCCAGCCTGCCGGTCCAGGGCCTCATGACTGTTCTGTGTCCCCCTGCAGTGCCTGGTGATTTGGGCAACCAGCTGGAGGCAAAGCTGGACAAGCCAACGGTCGTACACTACCTCTGCTCCAAGAGGACGGACAGCTACTTCACCCTCTGGCTGAACCTCGAGCTGCTGCTACCTGTCATCATTGACTGCTGGATCGACAACATCAGGTGGGGGCTGGGGTACAGATGGGGTGCTGCTCACCGAGCCTAAAGAAATTTCTAGAACCTATTTCTGTCTCATCCCTGCTTCAACAGACCCTGAGGTCATTGACCTCTTGCCCTTCTCATTTCCCCTGTCTAGTCAGCACCACCTCTGTACTCTCGGAGACAGAACTTTCTTCCTCCCTTTCTTGCAGCTCTTGGCTCTACTCTGTCTAGTTCATGCCTTGTGCTTTACACCCTATGCATGGATTCTTTTTTTTTTTTTTAAGATTCTAATTAATTAATTAACTGACTGATTGATTTTTAAATTTCCATCCAAGTTAGTTAGCATATAGTGCAACAATGATTTCAGGAGTAGATTCCTTAATGCCCCTTACCCATTTAGCCCATCCCCCCTCCCACAACCCCTCCAGTAACCCTCTGTTTGTTCTCTGTATTTAAGAGTCTCTTATGTTTTGTCCCCCTCCCTGTTTTTGTATTATTTTTGCTTCTCTTCCCTTATGTTCATCTGTTTTGTATCTTAAATTCCTCATATGAGTGAAGTCATATGATATTTGTCTTTCTCTAACTGACTAATTTCACTTAGCATAATACTCTCTAGTTCCATGCACATAGTTGCAAACGGCAAGATTTCATTCTTTTTGATTGCTGATAATACTCCATTGTATATATACTCACCAATTCTCCTTTATCCATTCATCCATCGATGGACATTTGGGCTGTTTCCATACTTTGACTATTGTGAATAGCACTGCTATAAACATTGGGGTGCACGTGCCCCTTCGAAACAGCACACCTGTATCCCTGGGATAAATACCTTGTAGTGCAACTGCTGGGTCATAAGGTAGTTCTATTTTTAATTTTTTGAGGAACCTCCATACTGTTTCCGGAGTGACTGCACCAGTTTGCATTCCCACCAGCAGTGCAAAAGAGATCCTCTTTCTCTGCATCCTCATCAACATTTGTTGTTGCCTCAGTTGTTAATGTTAGCCATTGTGACAGGTGTGAAGTGGTATCTCATTGTGGTTTTGATTTGTATTTCCCGAATGATGATGATGTTGAGCATTTTTTCATGTATCTGTCAGCCATCTGGGTGTCTTCTTTGGAGAGGTGTCTATTCATGTCTTGCCCATTTCTTCACTGGATTATTTGTTTTTTGAGTGTTGAGTTTGATAGGTTCTGTATAGATTTTGGATATTCACCCTTTATCTGATATGTCATTTGCAAATATCTTCTCCCATTCTGTCAGTTGCCTTTTAGTCTTTCTGATTGTTTCTTTCGCTGTGCAGAAGCTTTTTGTTTCAATGAGGTACCAATAGTTCATTTTTGATTTTGTTTCCCTTGCCTCTGGAGAGGTGTTGAGTAAGATGTTGCTGTGGCCAAGGTCAGAGAGGTTTTTACCTGCTTTCTCCTTTAGGATTTTGATGGCTTCCTGTCTTACATTTAGGTCTTTCATCCACTTTGAGTTTATTTTTATGTATGGTGTAAGAAAGTGGTCCAGGTTCATTTTTCTGCATGTCGCTGTCCAGTTTTCCCAGCACCTTTTGCTGAAGACACTGTCTTTATTCCATTGGATATTCTTTCCTGCTTTGTCAAAGATTAGTTGGCCAGAAGATTTTACTTATTTTTTTTATTTATTATTTTTGAGAGAGTGAGCAGGGAAAGAGCTGAGAGAGGTGGGGGGGGGGGGGCGCGGGGACAGAGGATCCAAAACAGTCTCTGTGCTGGCAGCAGAGAGCCCGATGTGGGGCCTGAACCCATGAACTGTGAGATCAAGACCGGAGCCAAAGCTGGACGCACAACCAACTGAGCCACCCAGGCATCCCAGAAGATTTTATTTTTAAATAATCTCTACATCCAACGTAGGGCTCAAACTCACAACCTTGATATAAAAGTTGCATGCTCTACTGACTGAGCCAGCCAGGCACCCCCTTACATGTGGATTCTATGCTTCAGCCCCTATTCATAGCCTCAACGTGGCCTCCATCCCTTCCCTTGCCTCTGAGTTGACCACTCACTGGCCCCTCAACTTCTTGTTCCTCCTGGGACATACCATGTCTCCATGTCTTTATACTTTCAGCCTGGAATCTAGCTCTATACCCTTTGCCTGATAAATTCCCTCCATTCACTCTTTAATTTTTTTTTTTAATGTTTATTTGTTTTTAAGAGAGAGAAGGAGAGAGTGAGCAGGGGAGGGACAGAGAGAGAGAGAGAGAGAGAGAGAGAGAGAGACAGAGGATCCAAGCAGGTTCTGCACTGTCAGCACAGACCCCGATGTGGGCTCGAACTCACAAACTTTGAGATCACGACCTGAGCTGAAGTCAGACACTTAACCGACTGAGCCACCCAGTTGCCCCCCATTCACCCTTTAAAACCTGAGCCTGGTCCCTCTGTAAAGTTTCCCCTGCCACTCCCCCAGAACTCTTAACCTTTCCTTCTTCCATGCCACATGTCTATTCCCTTTAATCCTTATCAGTTGCCAAACTTTGTTTCCAAGGATGTTTCCCTGATAATAAAATAATACTGTATTGAAAATTATCACTTATTGAATATAGGCACAGCCTGTGCTACATACTTTCTTTCATTTAGTCTTACAGCAACCCTATGAAACAGGTACTGTTTTCAACCTTGTTTACAGATAAGGAAACTTGGAAGCTCAAAAAGGTTACAAAGTTGCCTAGGGTCACTCAGCTAATGAGTGGCAGAATCAAGATTTGAACCCAGAATTATGTGACCCCGAGCTAAGACAGCTCGCTGAAGGCAGAGGTTGCATATCTCTTTTATCTTTTTTTTTTTTTAATGTTTATTTATTTTTGAGAGAGAGAGACAGAGACAGAGTGCAAGCAGCAGAGGGGCAGAGAAAGAAGGTATATTTCGTTTATCTTTATAGCGGTAGAACCAGGAACAAATTGGTGCTCAGTAAATGTTTGAGCTGAATGGAGTCTCACAAATTAAAATTTTTTTTCTGGAGATATATTAGTTAGTTCTTCAGGTGCCTTGCCTTTCCCTGTTGTTTCTGATGCCTGCTTTGTTGACTCTTTCCTCTTTTGTATGTGATCAGGGTTATTTCTGGGCTGTTGATCTGCAATTCTATTTTTACACCAGAGACGTGGTCTCAGGTACTGCCAATCGGAGGTGCAGGCTGATACTGAGAGTGGCTTGTCTACCTTCATGGGACATCTGACTTGTTTAGACTTTCATCTGGCACAGAGCTGCTTTGTCCTTGTAGAAAGTTTTCAACACTTTTCTGTAGGGATAATCTACAGATCACCTTAGAGAAAGTGGGCCCCCTGGACCTATTATTTAGGTCTATATTGGGTATCTTGGTCAGCTTTCTGTGGCTGATCTTATGGGGATTAGGACTCAGGACCACCAAGGACTTCAGGTCTAGCCACCTGTGTTTTCTTGGGCACATTTGCCTCCTTGGTATCAGGGAGGCCAGAACCAAGTTCCTGGCCTAGTACAAAGCTTTCCTTCTGTCTCCCACCACCCTGTCCCATCATTTTTCCAGACCTTGCCCACCCACCCACACAACAGCCACAGGTGTTCAGGCCCTAAGGTGGTGGTTTCTCTGTTTGGGTCTGTATGCTGCACTTACCATCTCCTTTGCCCTGTGATGTATTGTGGTGGGTGGTAGGAGCTAAATTCATGGAGATGGGGAATGGGAGCCTGTAAGATTAGGCTACCTGCCTTTTGGGTCAAGCATGATGTTGATGGCAGAGCCAGGCCTGGTACTTCCCTTTTCCAACCAAATCCAAGACCTGCATTCTGAGGTTGATGACATTGAGGAGAAGAAAATATTGCCTTGACAGGGGCCCTGGGTTTAATCTTTGGAATGAGTCTTGTTCGGGGTCCTCTGTTGGACTTGGTTACTCTGATTTGTGCTTTATAAAGTTTGTTACTTTTTATATACTTCTTATCAGACATGAGAATAGTAAGGGAGTGTGGCTTAGGATACAGGGAAGTATTAGGACACACCATGTTCAGTGTCATCTCTGGATCACCAGCTCAATGTCCCCACCCCCACCCCTGACAGGCTGGTTTACAACAGAACATCCCGGGCCACCCAGTTTCCAGATGGTGTAGATGTGCGTGTTCCTGGCTTTGGGAAGACTTTCTCACTGGAGTTCCTGGACCCCAGCAGAAGCAGTGTGGGTATGTAGCCCTTCCTCATGCCCTCCAGGGAATGGGGCTGGAAGTTCTGTATTCCTAGAGTGGGAGGAATGCTATTAGTTTGAAATGAGCCTGTATACTGTCTCTAATCAGTGTAGGCGCAGAGCCTTATAGCACTCCTTCAGGGATCTTCCTACAGTAGATGTCACAGTCTCCTTGTTGGGTGTGGTGTGGGTGGCTGGCACTGGCTGTCCTTTCTACAATTCTCATACATTTCTGTCTACAGGTTCCTATTTCCATACCATGGTAGAGAGTCTTGTGGGCTGGGGCTACACACGGGGTGAGGATGTCCGGGGGGCCCCCTACGACTGGCGCCGAGCCCCAAGTAAGTGGTCACTCTTGCTTCCTCTCTGAGGTCTTAGGAGGTGGGGATGAGGAGGTCACAGCCCCCAGGGGCCCTGGGCTCTCCCCTGTCCCCCAGGGCCTCTGGTGTCTAGCCTAGCAGTCACAGCTACCACCACTGGTCAATCTGTCCTGTCCTTCTCCACCCCTCACCCTAGGATTTCTGGGCCTCTGAGCCCTGGGGAGAGATAATGAGGCTGAGGAGGGGGAAAGGACCTCTTACATTTCCTCCTTTCCTGGAAAAGGAGGGAAAACCAGACCACTCCCAGTTGGATTTTAGCATTTTCCCCACCTGCCTAGTCCTGGATCTGGCCTGAAAAACATTCAATGGTTCAGGCCCCAGGACCCTTCCTTCCTGACCACCGCCTGGCTCTGGCCTACAGATGAAAACGGGCCCTACTTCCTGGCTCTCCGGGAGATGATCGAGGAGATGCATCAGCTGTATGGGGGCCCTGTGGTGCTGGTTGCCCACAGCATGGGCAACATGTACACACTCTACTTTCTGCAGCGGCAGCCACAGGCCTGGAAGAACAAGTATATCCGTGCCTTTGTGGCACTGGGTGCGCCCTGGGGGGGCGTGGCCAAGACTTTGCGTGTCCTGGCCTCAGGTAAGACCCTGCCTGACCCAGTTTGGGGGGCTGATGTCAGGGATGGTGCCCTCTCTTTCCTTCTACAGTGTCCTCCTGGGCCACCCTCATGTCTCTTCTCCAGAGTGGGATGCTTTTTTAAACATCTCCTTTTCCAAAAGAGGATCTATCATTAATTAATTTCATCTGTCTAGTGGATGGCTCTTGTTATCTGTGTGAGTTTTTTTTGCGGCATGTACACGGAATGGCACAACTGTTGGTCACTCAGGTATTTGCTTGTGCACATGTGTACACATGTACACTATGCTCTGGCCTGGCTGGCCTAACTTGGTTTGACCCAAAGTTCTTTGAGGGAGCCTTCTCCCTTTCTCTTACCCTCATCTTTCCTTCTTCATGCCCACCTTTGCCCCAGGGAAGGAAGGTTGGACTCCAGTTTGCTGTTTGTGAGTCATACGTCCATCTGTGGCAGCGGAGAGCCTTTGTGGGTAACACAGGGAGGAAGCAGGTGCAGATTTCTTTGGGCCTGCTTGCCTGGCAGTTGGCAAAGTCACCTCCTTCCCTGTTTCTCCCCAATCCACCTGCCTTTTCAGGGCTATCAGAGCCTGCCAGCTATAGCCATGGGGCTTTCCTCCCTCTGCTAGGACTGGGATTGAACCCGTGGCCCCTCATTTTAGGAGCCACGAGCCACTATGCCAAGCGTCTGAGGAACTTTCTTCCTCATGTCATCAACACTGCCTGACCTACTTGCTGGACAACTGATGGTTGCAATCAGGTCAGACACAGTGCCTCTCCCGGTAGTGACCTTGGATTGGCTGGACAACAAGTCCGGATATAACAAGGACTCATGACAGCCATCTACTCTGTCCAACCTGGACCTAAAAGGACAGATGTGGGCCTGCGTGAATTTGAGACAGGGAACCGTGGTGAGGTTCAGGTCTCAGCCTTTCAGAGCTTCCCCGTGAGTCTCCTTAGATCTCTGCCTCAGATTCTGGGAAACTGTTCTGTCAGGTCCCGGCAGTCTGGATCAGGGGTAGGGTAGGGGGTGGGGTGGTAGTCATGGACCCCTAGCTAGGGGCTTTCCTTTCCTCAGGGGTCCTACAGCCAGATCTCACAAGGCAGAGCTGAAAGTCTGTTGGTCAGTCAGAAGGTGGGTTGATGGATGGCCAGGGTCCTGAATAGGTCAGAGGGCCCCTGTTTCCAAGTTCTGGCTCACTCCTCAGAGGCCTCCCTGGCTCTGTGTTGTTGGCATTCCTGTGTGAGAAGGACCCTCGCTCTGCCTGCAGCCTCGCCTCCTGCTGTGTCTCCCGAAGGCCTGGCTGCCCAGGTCAGTGACACGTAGGAGAGTGGGGTACGACCAGGGATGGCTGGCTGCAGGTCTGAGCCTAGGAAAAGAAAAATGTTTTTGTAACTCAGTGTAAGAAAAGAGAAAGATGAATGTGTCCCTGGACTGACAGCCTGCTGATTCACCTTCCACAAGGTCAGTGCCCACAAGCCTGAAATGCTCAGAGGAGGGTACTGTTTACACAATGAATCACCTTGTGGGTATGTGCTGCCTAAACCTCTGGTGAGGAAATGCAAAAGGAAAGAAACAAGTCATGGCGGTGTGCTTCCCAGATAGAGCAAAAATAAAGGGAACTGTGGGGGAGTTATAATGAGGACGACAGTGTAGAGGTGCTGGAGTGCTGACTGGGCCCCTGACTGGGGCCCAGCGGGGGGCCTGGTGGGGACCGTGCTGCCCTGCCAGCTTGTCCTGAGCACAGACTGAGAAAGCCATCTCCCTGCAGGAGACAACAATCGGATCCCAGTCATTGGGCCCCTGAAGATTCGGGAGCAGCAGCGGTCTGCCGTCTCCACCAGCTGGCTGCTGCCCTACAACTATACCTGGTCCCCTGAGAAGATCTTCGTGCGTACACCCACAGCCAACTACACACTGCGGGACTACCGCCAGTTCTTCCAGGACATTGGCTTCAAAGATGGATGGCTCATGCGGCAGGACACGGAGGGGCTGGTCGAAGCCACAGTGCCCCCTGGCGTGCCGCTGCACTGCCTCTATGGCACTGGTGTCCCCACGCCAGACTCCTTCTACTATGAGAGCTTCCCAGACCGTGATCCCAAAATCTGCTTTGGTGATGGCGACGGCACTGTGAACTTGCAGAGCGCCCTGCAGTGCCAGGCCTGGCGCAGCCGCCAGGAGCACCAAGTGTCACTGCAGGCGCTCCCGGGCAGCGAGCACATCGAGATGCTGGCCAACACCACTACCCTCGCCTATCTGAAACGTGTGCTTCTTGGGCCCTGATTCCTGTGCCAGGCAGGGCTGTGGGATGGCGTGGCCACAGCTGCTTCTCTTGGCTACCATGGCCCGTAAGGTTAGCAGTTTGTGACTGACTGTCTAATGTCCTCAGTCTGGGGTTGTGAAATATCTGCCATTGGGAAGTGCTGTTTCTTATCCTTTTCTCTGTGGATGTGAGGAAAGAAGAAATAGTCTGGACTCACTTGAGGGATCCTTGCTGAAAAGAATGCTGCTGCTGCTGCTGCTGCTGCTGCTGCTGCTGATGGAATTGCTGTGACCTCAGGACTGGCTCCGCAGGTGGACTGGCTGGCACCTGGCCTCAATCCTGGACTGAGGGGTCATTTGTTTCTCCTACCCCTGTGGCCTTTTCACATTTACCCACTGGGCCCTGGCCCCTTAGCCTTCCTGTGGGGGATATTACTGAGGTGTGGTTCCTGTCCCTAAAGGTCCCAGGGATGGTCTGGTCCCTAGGGGATCCTTCCCACACACTGGCCACAGGTAGGCTTGGTAGTGGCTGTGGGTGGCTGGAGCTGCTGGCTTCCCTGTGGCCTAGTTGCTCAGCAGCTTGACTGTGGCTTTCTGGAGGCAGCCTGGTTCCTCCTGCAGGCAGGGGCGAGTTGTGTTCTCCATGGTTCCCAGGTCCTGGGACATTCACTCCTACCTCCCTCACCTCCAAGAACAGCCTAGCTCAGGATTGGGCAGCATATGGCCCTCTAGTTCTTGGGGGCTGCGTTCCAGGAGCCTTGACTCCTGTGGTTGGGCTGTTACCCACAGTATTGATGCTGGCTCCCTTCCCTCTGGGAATGTGGTTCAAGGATGAGAGCAGGGCCAGTGCCATGGCCTTTTAGGTATTCATGAAGAAAGAGAACTCAAGGAAGCAGCTAAGGCAGCTCGGGGTATCCCTGCTAAATCCACCACCACGTTGCCACCCAGCCCTAGGGTTTTTCTAGCACCCGTGTGGGCTGGTGCAGAGCTGAGAGGAGGTAGGACTCTTTCCCACTTTGCCCAGCACCTACTCCCACCAGGCAGCTCAGTGGTGTTTAGTCTGCAGAGACTAACCCAGAAGCTTGAGTCGCCCCTGAAAGAGCCAGGTGCCCTGGGGCTCCCCTGGTAATTTCCTTCCTTTCCAGAGGTGCTGCATGGATCTCCCTATAATAGCAGGGATAAAGAATCTGGATCTGCCTTGGTGGCAGTGATCTCCAAGTGGTCAATGGCTCTAGGCCAAGACTTGAGTCTAACCTCTAGGATGGGACCCCAGAGCCACAGTCAGGCTGGACTGTGCTGCTCTCCCACAAGATTTCTGTGGAGCTGGATTTTTTTGTATTGTGAACATACCCAGCATCTCCCTCCTTTTATTCCTGAGTGGTGTGCTCCGTACTGGGGCTCTGAGCAGGCTGTACCTTGATTCTGGCAATAAAAATACTCTGGATGCTGTAAAGTGCCCTGGCTTAGAGTGTCTTCTGAGCATGAAAAGAGGGAGGTAATGGAGGGGTGGAGGGGTGAAGACGCTAGAGAGGTAGCGTCCTGCCTCCCTCTACTCCTGCTTGGTGTATAAACCCCACATGCTGCCCCACAGCTGGGGGCTGAGGACGATCCTGCAGGTCACCCTGGCTGGACTCTCGTTCCCAGCCTTTTTGTCCTCTCTCATCTTTCAGGTCTCAGTGTCTTTTGACCCTAGAGTTCTTTTTAGGATGCCATCCTTCTTCTTTGTTTCTTCAGTTTGCCCACTGTCTGTCCCTCTCTGGGGACAGAGACTGACAGAAGAGGAGAGACTAGGCTGAGACTAGGTGTGGACAGAGACAAGGAACAACACTGGGAACCAAGTGGAGATGGATAAAGACAGAGAAACAGAGCCAGAGACAGGGAAACATGCATAGGGATGGCATCCAAGCCTTAATTCTATGGTGCAGAGCCCAGAGTGGGGGTTGGCGGCAGTGGGGTGGTGAGAGCCCCAGTTCCTGCCCTGGGCCAGCCTGGGCTTCAGGCTTCAATACACCCTGGGCCACTAGAGGGCACTCTGAACCCTCTCACAGCACTATTTATTGGCAAAACCTGGAAGAAATGTGGCCCAAAGAGGGGGAGGGTGCCAAGGGATACACAGGTCCAGCTGTAATTGCTGGCCTTGGTGAAAGGATGACAACACAAAAGGTCCTTACCTCCAGGTCCTGCCCAGCCTGACTCCCAGCTCTGCCCTGACAGCCACCATCCCCTACTCCCCCTTGTGGTGGCCTTACAGCTGCCTACTCACCCCTGACCTGTTTCAGCCCCACTGCCATGTTGGATTTCACAGCTGCCGAGAGAGGGCATGGAGTCATAGCAGGCTATAGTTCACGCTACTGGAGTCCAAATCTGAGTTCTACCAGCTCCAGGCTACTACATACGGAGTCTCCCAACTTTTCTGAGCCTCAGCTTGCTTATCTGCAGAATGGGGCCGAATAAATGTATCCTGCAGGGTGGTCCTGAGGAACACTGATGGTGCTGGAGAACATCCAATTCGGTGTTTGGTGCATAATGGGATTTCAGATGGTGGGTTGTTATAACTGGGTGTGAGCAGAGCCAGAGATCTGGATGCTGGCAGGTCATGTATGTGGTTGTTGCAAGGGTAAGTGGACTGGCTGCCACCGAGTGACACATATGAGCAGAGTTCTTACTTTGCCTGGCCAGAGAAGCAGAAGGAATGGATCCAGGGGACAAAGGGTCAGATTCTAAAGACTCCAAATATGCACATACTCTCATTCACACTAAAGGACGGTATTCCAAGCAGAGAGCACAAGGAGGGCAGTAGCAATGAGGGTCCTTCAAGGATCACTGTCTCAGGTCTATAGGAGAATGGAAGTGTTTTTAGGCAGAGGAGATACAGTCATTCCCATGTGTATTTTAGGAGCAATCCCTACCCTATGGGGATGGGTTAGAGGGAGCAGGGTAGGGATTGGGAGGCTACTATAACTGGGGAGAAGAAAACCATGAGAAAACCTGCAGGTCTTTGGGGGGCAGGAGGAGGAAGCTTCCAGGGTGCTGCCCATCTCTGGCTGCGTCATTGGGTGATGCAGAGCAGGAGATTGGGTATGGTCAGTCTCAAACTATAGGATGTGCAGGTGTAAACACGTGTCTGTGGGAAATGACTCCATGGCCCAGGAGAGAGCTATGTCTTGAGGTTGTGGACAGGAAGCTAAGGGGGAAGGCTCAGCTGTCCAAGAGGTCAGAGAGACCCTAGAAGAGCCCCAGAGCTACCAGAAGGAAAAGACCCCTAGAAGGAGATGGTGAAGCAGCAGCCGAGGTAGAGGAAGAGGATAGGAGGGTGCAGCTCCCCCAAGAGAGTGTCAGTAGGGTCAGACAAGATAAGGATCAAAAAGTGTCCCCCAGCCTGAGCCCTAGGGAGGCGGGGGGTTGGTTACAGAAGCCAGTTAGTGTCCATGTGTTTGCTGACGGTTCGATGGGCGGGAGCTGGGCTGAACTAGGAGTTTGGGAGAAAACGTCTTGGGTCTGTGTCTTCCTAGGGTGCGTAGCGGAGGGGTTGGCTGAGAACGAGGTATGGAGGCTATCTAGTGCAACTTGTGTAAGCTGTATGGCCAACAGCCATAAAGGAACGGGCTGCGGGGGCCATTTAGAGCGAGGGTGGTTGGGCCCAGGTCACGGCCCGCCTGGGGACAGGCAGCCAAGTGCACGCAGACGTTGGGACGGCACACCGAGCAGGGCCTTCTGATCCCTGAGGCCGCCGCGACGCCCCCCAGGCCCAGAGGCGCCGCCGCCTGCGGACTCAGCACGGAACTAGGCGTCCTGTCCCGACGCGGCGCGCGCTGTCGCGATCCGGCGGCGCGTGACGTGGCGGGGGCGGGGCCTCAGCGGCCCGGGCTGCCGTGGCGGTCGAGCTACTGAGCATCCTGTCGGCGCTTGGCTACCGCGAGGTAACGGGCCGCGGGCGGGCGCGCGGGGGACGCGGGGCCGGGGCCGGGGGCCGCGTCCTGGAGGCCGAATTCTCCGCGCCGCCGCAGTCGCCGCGTGCGGAATTCGGGCCCGCCAACCCCGGCGCGGGGCGGGCGGGCGAGCGCACGTGAGAGACGCCGCGGTGAGAGCGTGCCAGAGGGTGACGCTGTGCGTGTAAGAGGGACCGCGAGCGTGAGGGTGGCTCCAGGAGTGTGGGGAACCCTGAGTGTAAGACTGAGCGTGTCAGACTGTGTCTGTGTGAGTGTGTGTGTGTGAGCGACCCCCGTGAGTCTGAGGGTGACTGTGAGTGTGCAAGAAAGACCCTGAGTGAGAAGATGACGCCGAGTGTGTGTGAGATGATGCTGACAGTACGGGAGAGACTTTGGTGTGAAGGAGACTCGGTGTGCGTGAGGCACCCCCCCCCCCCCCAGACTAGTGGGAGGCTGTGTGTGTGAAACCCAGAGCCTGAGGGTGATTCTCTGAGCGTGTGAGGGTGGTTCCAGGAGTGTGCGAGAGACTGAGAGGGAGACTCTGGCGACAGAGGCCCCGAGTGTGACGCTGTGTAAGAGACTGAGAGGTGCTCCAGGGTGAGCGTGACGGGAAGAAAGCGAGCCTGTGCTGTGAGAAACTCTGCAAGCGAGAAAGACGGCGTGCAAGATTCTGAGAATGTCCTGCAGGATCAGAGCTTGGGATGCTGCGAGATTGTCCGGGGGCGGGGGGCATGCAGGGCTAGGGAACCGCGTGCTGCTGCCATGAAGGCTCCTCCTCCCGTCTCATGTCCTGTCATCTTGTTTGATCATCTCACGTTGTAAATGGAAAGAGATATTTGTAAAACATTCTGAGAATTCTTCACTAAGCGCTAGGCAAACAGTGTGGGTACCACGTTGTGTAATGGTCGGTATAAATAGGAATCAATATTTAACAGACGTTTTTGAGTACCTCTTGTGTGCACTGGGCTGTGGGCTTGGTGACACAGTTCAAAAGAATTCAGTCTCTGCCCTTGATGGGGGAAAAAAAGCACTGCCAGCGAATCTAGCATCGTGTTAGCAGAATGCTCAGCCATCTGGTGCTTCTCTGAGAGCTGCTCCCTGATTTGAAGATCTGGGGGCAGCAGACTTTTGAAAGTCTGAGTGCTTCCTGAGCTCATTTTCGTCTCTCTTTGCTTGCTGTGAAGCCCTTAGGAGGAAGCTGCCCAGGCTGCCTACTTTGCTAAGGTGCCGTTGTGCGCTCACGGCTTTTGCTTCCCAACTTTGGTCTCAGACTGTCATTTGAGTTCTTATATTTGATTTCCCTCTCCTGACAAGTATGTGGAAAACCACAAACCCAGTTTTTCCCTGTCTTTCTTCTTCTCTCTCTGGTTTCGGACATATTTTTGTTGCAGACCAGAAGTAAATACCAGTTATGTGACTTATCTCCTTGGCACTTCTTGGTACAGGAAATTTCCTGACCTCTGTCTTGTGTGCTTCCTGCTGTAGCCTCCAGGATGTGGATATGTTTCTACAAAAGTGACGCAAACAGTGTTCACAGGACCTGGGACTCCGGGAGCAGCAGCAGTCTAGATATGCATGATTTGAGATGACCGAGCTACTTCTCTGACACATGTGTGGGCTGGTGGCTTCAGTTACACTCCACTGTGAGTGTGATGGAACTTCTCAGTTGAGAATGCTGTCCCTGCCAGGCATATAAAACATACATTTTACAAAGGGAGATATCCAGCTGCTTATTAGGCTCGTTTTTTGATAAGCTGCCTCTTACTCTTTGTTGCAGAGGTTAAGTGGCCAAGACAGACAGGTGGAATTAGGCCTTGATGTGGAGGCTTCATTTTCTTCTCAATACCTGACCCTTCATAATGAGGCAGCTTATGGAAGTGTGATGTTTGTTCATTTCCTCACAGGTGAATGTTGTTGCTCTGTCCTCTGTTAACTTTCTTGGATCTTTGTGATTTGTAAAGAATTTCAGTTATTTTTGTACACTATGAACAGGATACTAGTGATGAGAATGGCTCATATATAATTAAAAATTATATAACACTGTATTATATAAATTGTATATATATTAAATTATATCTCTTTCTAAAGAGTAATTGTGGTGGTTCATAATGAAAGATACTTGCAATGAGGTTGTTAAAAAGAAATTGAAAACCAAAGTCATGGAAAAGAATAGATACCATGTACTGTTGAAAGTAAGGTTATCTGTTCACTGTGATTGGGAACTGAATTGGATCTTGAGTTTCCTATTTTCTTAGGTAAAAAGATAAATATAGAGTCACATCACTTTTTTGTTTTATAGGAGTGTAAGTATGTGTGTGTATATTATATACAGTTAAACATTAAGAAAATTAATGTATACTAATTGTGGAAAATATGTAAAGCTCAGAGGTGTATAGAAAAGAGAGTCCTCTATATTTTTACCACAGTTAAGATTTTGAGGGGTGCCTGGGTGGCTCCGTTGGTTGGGCCACCGACTTCGGCTCAGGTCATGATCTCACAGTTCGTGAGTTTGAGCCCTGCGTCGGGCTCTGTGCTGACAGCTCAGAGCCTGGAACCTGCTTGGGATTCTGTGTCTGCCCTGTCTCTAGCCCTCCCCTGCTCATGCTCTGTGTCTCTCTGTCTCTCAATAGTAAATAAACGTTAACAAAATTAAAAAAAAAAAAAGATTTTGATATTTTTCTCAACAGCATTTTCCCTCATAGTTACCCATTGTAAAAGAGATTTTAAATCCAGCTTGTAAAGTATTCCTTGTAATTGAACGCTGAAAGATTCTTTTTTCCCCCTGAAATTGCATGTGATAGTTTCATGCTTAAGTTTTCATGAAGCAGTTTTAGTGGTCTGATGAATTCCTTTATTATCTGCTTAGATGAGCCTGTAAAATAGTATGAAAACCTGCTAGAAAACTGCATTGTGCCCTTACAGGCAGGGTTTAAGACTAGTTTTTCAAAATAGGAACTTATAGGGTACACTGAATGATTTAATGGAAATTGTCTTAGGTAGTGATTTTAGAGACTGTGTGAGAGAGACTGAGAATCCGATAGTTTGTGATCTTCACATACCGATTTTTCTTATCAATTGGATAAAAACTGAAGACAGAAGGATAGCCAGTTCAGAGAGGGTGATCTGGTAAGATTTTGTTGTACACTCTTCCCCCCAGATACCAGGCTACTTAGCTGGAGATAGTGGCTTAGTTATGAGCTCCTTGATTTTCATCCCATTTCTGTGGGGATAGGATAAACAATGCATCTCACAGATAAGGATTGCCTTTTTGAGAATGTATGTAGATACCGTGGCAACTAATTAAATGTACTTGAATTCAAAACCATTATTGTAGTCATAGTTGCTTTTTATCCGTTTTTTCCTCTTTCATCATCTAAAGAACAAGTACTTTGACAAAATGGTAAGAACCACCATCTCAGACTGAATTCTCTGAATGATCACTTCATTTAGTTAAGCCTTGTTTGTTTGTTGTTCTGGCAAGCAGGTGAGTAGGTGGCTCAAGGTGTTAGACTTTTAGTAGGGTTTGTTGTGTATTTTCTCTTTTAGCTATTTTTTGTCCTTGGTGTTTATTTATTTATATTTTTTGTGGGGGGAGAGAGATAGAGAGTGAGCGGGGGAGGGGTAGAGAGAGAGAAGGAGATAGAGAATCCTAAGCAGGCTCCTGGCTGTCAGTGCAAAGCCCATTGTGGGGCTCAAACTCACAAACCACGAGACCATGGCCTGAGCTGAAATCAATAGTCAGATGCTTAACCGACTGAGCCATCCAGGTGCCCCTGTTCTTGGTATATTTTTATGGAGTGATCACAGATTGAGTACCAAGCCTGTGCTGGGCCTTGTACTTGGTGCTGTTAAAACAGACAAGGAGGGGTGCCTGGGTGGCGCAGTCGGTTAAGCGTCCGACTTCAGCCAGGTCACGATCTCGCGATCCGTGAGTTCGAGCCCCGCGTCAGGCTCTGGGCTGATGGCTCAGAGCCTGGAGCCTGTTTCCGATTCTGTGTCTCCCTCTCTCTCTGCCCCTCCCCCGTTCATGCTCTGTCTCTCTCTGTCGCAAAAATAAATAAACGTTGAAAAAAAAATTAAAAAAAAAAACAGACAAGGAACTTACTAACTAGTTGGGAGAGACTGAAGTGAAGGTAAGTAAATGCAACAGAATGAGGTGGCTGCTAAGGCAGAAGTATGTATTAGAAACCTTACAGACACAAGGAGATAGGTGGAGAAAGATGGCAGCCAGGATGTTGGGGAAAAGGTGAGAGAAGTAGGGTGTTAGAAGCAGAGGCTCAGTACGAACAAAGGTGTGTTTGTCTGATGGGCTCTAGGAACCCTGGACTATCCCAGGTTCTGGAAGCTGCAAGGAATTTAGTGTGATAGGACCTTGGGTGGGACAGCGGGGGTTGGAGGTAGGGGTGGGTGTGGGGGGGTGTAGTGATAAGGACCTGATAAGTAGGTTGGAATTGGTCTTAAAGGCCTCAGGTAGCACCTGAGGGAGGGTTCCTAACTGTGCTCTGATACCAACAGAGTAGATAGTAGGGTTGATACTCTGTTGTGAAATTTGAGGAGCCAAAGTAGTGTTTTTCCTGCTAGAAGGCTGCCTCCTGCCCCTAGCCTGCCCCCCGTCTCCTGGATGGAGGTAAACCCTATTGCAGTTGCCAGTTTTTGTTTGTTTTTCTCAGAAGTCACATAATTACTTAGACAAGAGCTATGTTGTTGGCACATTCCGTTTTCAGGTCTTCTAGATCTTGCTGATTTTTTTAAAGTAGGCTCCACATGCAGTGTGGGACTTGAACTCATGACCCTGAGATTAAAAGTCGAATGCTCTACTGACTGAGCCAACCAGGTACCCCTCGATCTTGCTAATTTTATGTCTATCTATTCTAGTGACAACTGAGAGAGGTGCTTTGAAGTCTCCAACTATAATTGTAGATTTGTGTATTTCTCTTTTTAGATATATATCACTTTATGTATTTTGAAACTTTGTTGTTGGAGGAAATAAATATTTAGAATTGTCTTCTTGATTAATTGACTTCTTTATCCCTAGCAGTATTTCTTATTTTGAAGTTTATTTTATATAATGGTACTATAGCTACTCCATCTTTCTTTTGATTAGTGTTTGCATGGTTTATTTTTTCCCTATCGTTTTACCTATAGTTTACTTATGTCTTTATATTTAAAGCAGGTTTCTTGTAGACTACATGTTGGGTTTTGCATTTTTATCTGTCAGTATCTGTTTTTTAGTTGGTATGTTTAGATCATTTATATTTCATGTTATTATTGAGATGGTTGGATTAAAATCTTCCTTCTTGCTACTTGTCTTCTGCTTCTATTAGTTCCATATGTCTTTTTTTCTGCTTTCTTAAAAAATTTCTATTTAAAGTATAGTTGATATACAACATTATGTTAGTTGCACAACATGGTGATTCCACAATTCAATGCATGCTCACCACGATAAGTGTGGTTACCATTTGTCACCATACACCATTACTACAATATTAACTATATTCTCTATGCTGTACTTTTCATCTGCGTCTTATTTATTTTATTATTTTTAAGTTTATTTATTTATTTTGAGGAGGGGAAGTGGGGAGAGAGAGAATCCCAACCAGGCCCCACACTGTCAGTGCAGATCTTGTGAAATGATGACCTAAGCTGAAATTAAGAGTTGGGTGCTTAACTGACTGAGCCACCCAAGCACCCCTGGAAGTTTGTGCATCTTAATCCCCTTCACTTGTTTTGCTTATCCCCTCACTTCCCTCCCCTCTGGCAACCACCAGTTTGATTTCTGTAGTTATGAGTCTCTTTCTTTGTTGTTGTTTGTTTTGTTTTTTAGGTAAGTGTGATAATATGACATTTATTTTTCTCTGACCTAGTTCACTTACTTTTGGTTTGTGTATTTTTTATGTTTTATTTCCACTGTTGGCTTGTTATTTACACCCCTTCTTTTAATCTTTTTAGTTTAGTTTTGTTTTTAATATTTACCTATTTTGAAGGAGAGAATGCATGTGGGGGAGAAGTAGAGAGAGAGGAGAGAGAGAATCCCAAGCAGGTTCTGGTGCTGTCAAACCAGAGCCCAAAACAGACCTCAAACTCACAAACTGTGACATTATGACCTGAGCTGAAATCAAGAGTCGGATGCTTACCCAACTGAGCCACCTAGGTGCCCCTTTAGTTTAGTTTTTTTTAAGTAATGTTACATTATTTCACATATAAGAACCTTACAACAGTATAATTTCCAATTCTTCGTTGTCTTTGTGCTGTCGTTGTCATACATTTCACTTTCATATATGCTATAAATCCACAATTCACTGCTAGTGAATTTTTACTTGAGGCAGTCAACTATATTCTACAGCAATTAAATGGCCCCCCAAAAGAGTTTTTTTTTTTCAAAAAGTATTTTTTTTATATTTACCATAGACCATTTGATACTGTTCTAGGTTTTTACTTTTTTTCCCATTTTGACTCTTGTGGTTTTGATCTCTCTGCTGAAATTTCACCTGTTTATGTATGCTGCCCAACTTTTCCATTAGAGCATTTAATGTATTAATCATAGTTATTTTGTATTTTATATTTTTATGTTTTGAGAGAGAGGGAGAGTATGTGCGCACGCGAGCAGGGGAGGGGCAGAGGGAGAGAGTATCTTTTATTTTAAGTTTATTTATTTTTTTGACAGAGAAAGAGAGTACACTCACAAGCACTCGTAAGCAGGGGAGGGACAGAGACCGATGTGGGGCTCGAACTCACAAACTGTTAGATCATGACCCTAGCCAAGATCAAGAGTCGGATGTTTAACGGACTGCGCGCCTAGGCACCCCAAGGGAGAGAGAGAATCTTAAGGAGGCCCCATGCCCCGCGTGGAGCCCGAGGAGGGCCTCAATCTCTTGACTGTGAGATATGACCAGAGCCTTAGATG